CGCCGCCCTGGCGAGCCGTGCCAGTTTATGTTGGGCAAGGAGAAGAAACCCAGCCCCCTCCCCTCTGCCACCCTGGGAGTCTGAAGCTCTGCCGCTGGCGGAGGTGGCCCTCAGGTCTGCCGGGGGTGGGCTGCTCCCCACGCGGGTAATTGGGGCTCGGGCAGAGGGGGAGCGAACCCCTTCTGACGTGCTTGGTGTTGCAACCCTGCCCTTATCTTTGTACAGAGTCCAGCTACTCTGTGCTCCTCTCTGAGCCCCCTTCTAAATCTGGGCTGTGCTCATGTGTCCACCTATTTTTTTAAGCCTTTTTTTTTTTTTTTTTAAACTTCTTACTTGTTTTTCCCCCTGACTAACTACACAGCTCACACGAGCTCCTTTGGCGAGGAGCTGTTGCGGTAAGTCACACAGGGCAGACGTGTCCATGCACACCCCGAGCAAACCCTGGGAAGCTGCAGCCAGGCTGAGCAGAGCTCCATCCTGATGGACCTCTTGGGGTGAGACTCCATGGAAATGGCCCTGTGCACTCCCACCGTAACCGTGTCAGCCGGTTCCTGCTCACAACCTTGGTTCTTTCCCAGCAGAAACCAGTGCAGCCCCACTGAGGTCAGTCCAGAGCTGGACAGGCACCAGCAGAGCTACACCAGCCTCTGAGGATCTCACTGGGCATCTGCACAGCTGCCAACTGGAAAATATATTTTTTTGGTAGTTGCAACCTTTCCCCCGAGGACTTTTGAGTCTTTCATGTGTGAGACAGCCACCAGGCCAGCTCATCCCTAACCCCTCCTCTCATCTCCTGGGCTTAGCAACACAAATCCTTATGAATTTGTGATCGGAGCTACTCCTCCCCAGGGTCTCCCACAACTCCTTCCCGCAGCTCTGTCTGGCACCACTAGGACAAGCAGATGTTTTGCAGCTCATGGCTACCCCTTCCCCACATCAGTTCGGGTGTTGGCAGAGCGACCAGCTGCTGTGCCCGCGCTATGCCCAAAGGAAGGTGAATGTGCATCCCCAGGGGGCTGTGCTGGGTCCCGTCCCGGAGCCATCCCCACAGCAGCTGGTACAGGGCAGGCACTGCCAAGCCATCCTGCAGCAGGGCACAAGCCAGTCCTTGCCCTCCCACCTCCCAAAAGCAAAGCATCCCCCAAAGGATGACATCCCTTCGTGGTCACCATGAGGATGCCCATCCCACGTGCACACCACCCACTGGTGTTAAACCCACCAGCTTCAGCCATTTGAAGTAATGCAGCGTGGCCGCTGCCTTGCAGCGTGGCAGGACATGACCAGCCCAGGGCACATGTGTGTGCAGGGACAGTTCAGACGTGATCTTTAACATGCTTTCACGAGTCTGTCGTATCCCTCCAGGCTTGGCATAGCACCAGTTACCCTCCTTGCACTGGGCAGCACAGCAATGTGCAAAGAAAGGAGCTCTCTTGCCCAGGGTGATGGAGCGAGACGGTGCCAGTGGCCCAGGAGTGTCACCTTGGGGTCCCTAGCCCCAGCCCCACAATTAATTAGGAGTCATCCCTGTACTAATTGCGGCTGTGGAGTCAGAAGCCAGTTGCTGAGATGCAGAGCCCCGTTGCTGCTGGGGACAACTTCCCATTCCTGATTTGACAGCGCCACCTCGTGAGGTGGCCCCGCTTTTGGGGACCCTGTGGGGTGCAGGCCCCTGTCCTGCCCCACCGCTGCCCGCACCCACCGCAGGTACCCAGGCTGTGCCCAGATGGCCCCGGGAAAGCTGCCCACCCTTACGTTACGGGTGGTGTAACCTGGCTGTGCCCACGCAGGTGACAGTAACGGGGACAGACATTCTGCGTTCCGTTAATGGCCAGAAGGAGAAAGCTCAGGGCCTCTTAGAAACACCAGGTTGGCAGAGTCTATGCTACAGCCCCCCCTTAGGCAAACACAAAAGAGATGTCCAGTGCGGGAGAGGCCACAAAACCCTCTGCTCCACGCGGCCCACAGGCCGTGAAACCCTTCCCACTCCCACCGACAGCGCAGAGCCACAGACAAGCAGACCCACTTCTCTACGACAAGGCACGTCAGAGTCCCCAGGCATGATGCTGCCCAAAACCTGGAGGGCACTAGCAGCCCTGCCAGCTCTGACCCCATAGCATTACGGACAGGGGGATCAAACACCTACCTGGGGAAGAGATTCCTCCTCTTGCCAGGGAAACAGGTCACTGCTGCTGCAATGGGATGGGTTTTCTTCTTTCTTTCTCCTCTTCCCACTGGAGGGTCTCCAAGGTTGGGTCTCAGCCCCAGATCTGATGAAGAAAGACAACTAATAGGAAATCTGGGCTTGCTCTGTCCGGGGTAGACGTAGCAGGGTCTCCTGTGAAATTCCCACCACCACCTGAGCAGATGCACTGACAGCAACCACGCACGGTGCCGAGGTGCTACCAAGAGTCTGGTTTGAAGGCACAAAGCCTGCCCAAGTGGGGAGAGGGGAAGGGTTTCATTTCAGGACTGCCCAAGCATGATTGCAGGGCTGGTGATTAAAAAAAAAAAAAAGTGACGTTTCCCTAAAGGACAGCAAAGAGGGAGGTGCTGAGAGCCCTGCGGTCCCCAAGAGCCCGGGACAAGCGTGTCACAAGCAGTGTGACATTCCAGAGCACGTCCCCAGGACAAGGTAGTGTGACAGCCACTGGTGAGTTACCTTTGCTGGAAGCTTCAGCCCCTCTCAGCACACTCCAAAAGGGACAGCAGGGATAAAGCAGCGTTCAGTTTCTGAAATGGGGGTCCTCCCTGTGACACAGCTGTGCCTTCTCGCAAGTGGACATGTCCAAGGGCATCCACCCACCAAGTAGGCTGATGCCAGTCTAACCCCTTGCATCCAGACCTTTCAGACATGAATAAAACTTCACAGGATAGTGGGAGGTGTTGGGCACTACTGGCACACTGCCTTAATGTCCTGGGTGGATGGGGTGAGGGTCTGCAGTGGTTATCACTCTACTCAGAGCCACCACCTGCCCCCCAGCCTGATGGTACCTCCTAATTTGGGGAATTTGCTACCAGAACCTGAGCAAGAGGACTCAGAGGGCACCAAGGCAACGGGGTCTGAGCAGCAGCACCAGAGCACAGCATGGGGCTCCCCTCCGTGACAGCAGGGTTATGGCTGGTGTCTGGTGAGGTGGAGGAGCACAGCTTGTCCCCTCCAGCCACAGCATCTCCTTTCTCCTGCCCCATGGATGCCGCCCCATCCGTGCTCACCCTCCACAAACCGCATACCTTTGCTATTTAGGAAGCTGCCATTCGAACTTTCCAGCTCCTGCGTGCAGCTAAACCAGGTGCATCCCAAACACCCTGTGCCACCCCCTCAGAGCACATGGGTGCACTGGGACCCAGATTTCACGGACTGTCCCAGGTCCAAATCCTCCCGCATGTGCATGAGACAAGCCCATACCGCACATCGCCTAGAGCTGTCCATCCTCATCCTTTGGTTCACATTTATATCACACTTGGCAACACAAAGCCCAGGTAACTTTCTCTCCTCCCCCTTGTAGCAACCATAGCCTCCACGGACATGGGGCTTCTGCTGAGAGATGATGTTTTTGTTGACTTTTTCAACATGTTTCTGAATCTTCCTGTAAGTCCACTCCGCACCATAAAGCCCAGGACCTTTCTGAGCTCTTCTCAGGGGATCTTTCAGCTCCTGTGGTGTTAGAGGCCCCAGGAAAATTGGGAATGCACCCCACTCAGGTTGGAAAATGTGAGAAACCTGAGGACCTCAGCTTGGAGATGGAGGTCTGAAAAGGAAGATGATGCCCTCCTCCGTAGTCAGGACTAACTAGAACAGCTGAGCTCTGGGCTCCCCTGGCACCTTACATCTCCTTTCAGCTCCCCCCTTTCCTTTCGATACAGGTTTTTGGCCAGACACCCATTTACATCAGCAGCACAGGCCAGTGGGACCTCTGGCCAGAGCTCCCTGGTGAGAAAAATGCCCCTTGCAGAGAGGGAGGAAGGGCAGGCACAGGGCAGGGGAGTGAAGGAGCCGGTTTCTCATTGCCAAGGCCTCTCTCTGGCTCTCCTCTTCGTGCAGCTGGGGGATTATTTCAAACCCAGGCGACATTTTGCTTTTAAGCCCTGGGAGGAGCACAAGCCATTTAAAGTCCTGCTGCAGCTTACGGGGTCCATCCAGCCCTCAGTAAACATCAGTCGCTGGAGTTAAGGAGAGCAGGTGTGGTGGCAGAGAAGGAGGACACAAACATCAGCCCCACGTGTCCTGTATTGCTCCTGAATTCACCAGGAGTGAAGTCCTGTTGGTCCTTAAACTGGCTCAGCCCTCCCCACTGACGTCCCCCTTCCCAACAGCCACAAGCACCATTCGCAGCGCTCAGATCCCATAGCAAAAGGGAACCTGCTTCTCTCGGTGCCACCAGAAAGCTGCCGTACCATCCTGCCCGGGCTCCGGGAAAGCAAGCAGGCTGTGGGGAGAGGCAGCCTTGCAGCACCGGGTCTCCCAGGTTTGCAGGCAGAGCTTGCAGGGATGCAGGCAGGGGCTATAGCTCGAGTATCCCCCTTCTTTCTCAGCACAGGGATGGTTTGTATCGCCATCCAGCAACAGGGTGCCTTCCCCTGCCTCCTTCCCCCGTATCGGGGGCCCGTTACTCACCTAATCCCCAGGCAAGAGACGGCTCCTTGCTCACAGCCTAATCCTCTTCTTGGGCATGGGGGGTTGCCATGCAGGATCCCAGCCCCCCGGCTTTACTGACTTGGCTGGAAAGGCACCGGCTGCCTCACTTCTGCAAATCCAGCCTGTGCCTCTGTCTCATCCTCTGCCAGAAGCTCTGGGTTTCATTCGGTCGGGGGAAGCAGGTGAGTCATCGCGGCACGGAAGAAATCGGAGCGACTTTGCCACCGCAGCAAGGCTTCGTCTCGCCGGGGCTGTCACCACCTGGTGCCTGCCCAGCGGGTCCTGCCTCTGCTCCGCATTAAAAAGGCATCGCGCATCCCATTTTTAGGGGTGCGGCAGATCCCAGGTTTTCCACAGGATGAGCGGGGCTTTACCCCACAGCCCTGAAAAAGCTGAAAGAGCTCCTTAGCAGGATTTCCCATGCAGAACATGGGTGGAGCGGGGCTGGAGAGCATCCTTGGGCATAGGAAACTGGGGTCCTGACCTTTCAGGTTTGCTGCTATGCTGGGTGCCCAGAGGTCTCGCACAGTAGTGCAAAATGCTCCTCATCTGATGCAGCCTCCACTGGGAAAACACGTCTATGCTGTGGTCTGTCTTACCGGCAGCAAGTCTGAATTGTGCTCAGTCTAACCCTAAAATGAGCCATCTCACCCCAGTCAACTGCTTTGTCAGCCTGCGTGTCAACGCAAGGGAAGGCCGCTGGAAAGAAAGCTATGGCAGCAGGTATGCAGATTTTCACGTCACAAAAAATAAGCAATTCGTGGAGGCTTGCTCCAGTGCTGTTTCCGAATGCACTGCTGCTTCTTCTCCTGTCGGGTTGAACCTCAAGCTGAAGGAAATTGAGGGCAAGCCCCAAACTCGAGCAAAATAGATGGAGGTTTGCAAGGGGAAGAGGCACGATAGCTGGGCAGACTGTCACAGACATGAGCGGGTTGTCCTTGCAAACACCACACGTGCATCCCGCAGCCTGTCTGAAACTCCCGTTTCAGTGCGGTTTGCTGGTCTCCTGGCTCTCAGCACTGCTGCCCTCCGGCAGCCTCTGGCAGGGAGGCTGGGGGATGCTGGGGGGGCTTTCCTGGGGACCTCTCCTGCATGCCACCCCCGATGCCATGCTCTGCGCTCTCTCTCTGACAGCAAAACCGCTGAACTGGTGAAGCGCTGACTGGTGGCTGCTGGCAGGTGGGCATGGGATGCTCCACAGCCCCTTCCTAGCCAGCCGCGGGCAAGCTGCCCGGCGGGACACCGACACAGAGCTACAGAGCTGGGGGCATGGGTAAGCACCGGTGGGACAGGAGACACTGGCATCCCAGATGGAGCTTTAGAAGTGAGCCAGCAGCAGAGCCCCAGCATGGGCACTTGCATGCCAGGGAGATGCCTAACCTTGGCTCTTCTCTACACTGTTCCCTTGGTTCATCCAGGTGATCTTTCCTTCTTTCTTTTCTTTCTTTTGTAATTAAACACCACAGGCTGCTTTGCTCATCAGCGGGGCTTTCAGGGACTCCCTCCAACTCCCGTCCTTTGTCTGATCCATAGGGAAGAACTGACCAACTTCTGGCTCACCACTGAAAGGCTCCTGGGGCTTGACGAGTCGGACCCGAGGCAGAGGGACCTCCACCTGTCCTTGCTCCACAAGCTGAAAGCCACTCACCTGCGTGAAGGCTCCAGCGTCATCTCTCTCTGCAGGACCATGGTTGGTAAGAAACATGAGAGCTGGGGACAAGCAGTGCCCTTCCAGAGAGGTGGCCTTTCCTGGATGCCCCCAGGGAGGTGGGATTACCATCATCAGCTTTGTTTGGCTGAGGAATGGTCTGTGTGGAGCCATCTCCCCATCGTAATCCCCTGCATCCATTTCAGGATCGCTGCCGAAAGCCAGGCACGTTCAGCCCATCAGCACCAGCAGGGAGATCCTAAGCAAGATGCAGGAACAGGCCCTTTTTATGATTCAGAGTTACTGGCTCCCTAAATTCTTCATCTGCTGCAAGATGGGCATGGAGGAAGAGAAACTGTGCCAGCCTCTGCTGCAGGAATATCAGGAGTGTCTGTTACGGGCCAACTCGCAGGAGCAGTCAGGCTTTTCGGAGAATCTCTTCACGATGCATATTAAAAGGAGCCAGGGTTTGTCAGGGCCCTACTGCAGCAAGAAGGCCAAAGCAAAGATCTGGACCCTGGTCAAGGCAGGAAGAGACACCCAAGAAAAGAAGATGCTCAGTTTTCAAGTGCAGTCAGAAAGGCAGCCAGGGCCAGCTGGGAGCACAGGGGAATCACATCTGGATAAGGATGCTTTGGGATCCGTTCCTCAGCAGTCAGAGCATCCTACAAGCACTGCCTTTGGAGGCAAAGGAGGAGCAACCTCTCCCGAAAGACCTAGACCCAGTGCAGACCCTATCCTTCATCTGGAAGATCTCTGTGAAGAGAAAGTCCTCTCTAACCTGTGCTCCTCTGCACCCCTTGTCCAGCTGCCATCCCTGAAAAAGCCGGTCGAGACGAATTTCCTTCCCTGGGCCCTTAGCGCTGAGACCTGTGCGGGACGGCCCTTCAGGGATTTCTTGAAGCGCCAGGACCGGTCCGTGGAGACTCATCTCCTGGACCTGTGGCATGACCTGGAGGAATTTCTGCCTGTGGTGCTGGACCCCAGCAGAGGAAATAGTTTTCGCCTGCGTCATTTGCTCAGGGAGAAGATATGCGTGACCTAGCTGGAGGAGGGCAACATTCAGCATCTTCCCTTAGATACCAGGACTCTCAGGAGCCTGCGGAACCATCTGATGTCCGGAGAATTCTCCCCCTGGATATTCAGAGCCCAGAAGGAGCTTTGCAAGGTACAGAGCGGTGCTGGCAGTGGTCAGGCTGGGAGGTACAACTGGTGTTGGCACCCCTGGGCTGGTGGCTGTAGACATGTTTAAGAGAGGGTTTTGGAAAATGAAGGTGAAAAGAGATTAGGAAGGGAAAAGTTTACAGTTGCAAGCCACCTTGCACTGGAACCGGTGACCAAGATGCGCCAGGCCAGCAGAGAGGAGCATCCTCACTGGGTTGCTGGGCAGTGGAGCAGAGGTGATCAGTCCTTTAGCACCTGGTGACCACGGTTGTTAGATGCACATGCAAGGGGATGGCAGGGCAGCGGCCATCCTTTTGCATCTGAGTTGCTGGTTCCAGCACAACACAAGTTAAAACACATTTACAACCCAAGCCCTTCTGGGCAGCCTCTGAGCAGCCCAACGGACCAACCTGGGTGTATAGCTCCTGGCAGAGCTGTCCTGGGCGTCTCAGCGAGGTGTAACCTGCCCACGGCATCACCACTGTGACCTCAGGGTACGCTGGGGCTGGGGGGTGGCAGTTGCTACTGGAGCACTGACTGAGGACAACCCACCTTTGCTCCTCAGGTGCTCTGCTGCTTCTACGAGGAATTTCTGGCTGACGATGACAAGATGTTCCTCCAGTTTATGGTAAAGAAGATGCACAGGGGACACAGGCATCCTCGTGAGGTGTGCAAGCACCAGCGGGGATGTGAAAAGTTGGAAGGAGGGAGGGAAGAGAAGCCCAGCATTAGCTGCAATAGTCCAGCATCCCACGGCGTTCCTTGGCCAACGCAGGGTGATACAGCAAAGCCCACCCTGCTCCAGCTGTCCGGAGCAATGATCCTCAGCTCTTCTACCACAGCATCCCATAAGTCAGCAGCGCTGCAGGCATGCCCTGCAAGGGTTCCCCTGAGATGGGGCATGACCCAGCCTAAAAGCAGGGAGAAACTTAACCAGAATCTTTCAGGGTAGGTGGGGGTGAGACCAGCAGCAGGCAGTGCACTGGGTAACTGCCTCATGGTTGCCCACTTCTGGGAATTAACTCTCCCCCTTTATGCCTTGCTCACAGCAAATACCACTATTAATGTGACTCGTGTCACATGCGTATGTCCCTGTCCCAGCACGAGTGCCTGGCCAACACGCTGGGGGAAGAGGGCAATGCAGCCTTTTAGCCTATGATTCAACCACGCTCAAGTTTTCCACATATTTTTTCACTGTGTAAAGGGATGATTTAAGAAAGCAGAGTCACACGAGCACTCCTCTTCCCGGACTATTATCCCTCCTGGTAGTGGAAATCCCACTAATACCTCATGTTTATTAACACCCTAAATGCTAGCCTTACACCCAGAAACTTCCTCGCAGACAGAAACCCCCGAGCATCCCACCTGCATGCATCCCTGCGTAACCCATGCAGGCAATTTTGCTCACTGCAGATGGTGCTCTTCAAACCAACCGTTAGGCCTTTCCCCAAACTGCAATGTAAAATCAGCAGCTGACCCTGGAAATGGTAAAGAGAAGCTGTCAGGGCTAGTGCCCCCGAAGAGCTGGCTCACAGAGATGCCAGCAACTCAGTCAGCAAGAGCTGAGCATTTTGGAAAAGACAGCTGGCAGCTCCTGATCCCGATTCATTAAATGCTCTTGGTTGCAAGTTAATTAGCTGCCCAGGTTTTTAAGCATCTCTTGTCGAGGCAATTACCCCTCAGAGCACAGTTCTGGTCTAGGAGTGCAATTAGCACTTCAGCAGGTGTCGAGGCCATGCTTTCCACGGGCACCATCCCCTAAGCCAAACTCCTCCCCGGGTCTCACCGCACTGATGTCAGGGGAACTGCTCGAGGGCTTAGCAGGGTTATTTTTGGTGCTTGCTCTCAGCAGCGTGTATCTCAGTCAGACACCAGCCAGCTCTGACCCTGCTGCTCACCGAGTCCTGCAAACTGCTTGCTGGTGGGGAGGACCAAAACTTGCAGGAGGGTCTCAGCGGTGGGTGAGGGAGGCACTCCCAGGGCACCAGGTAGAGCCAGTCCCAGGGCCAGCAGCCAACTAAAAAGGACACACGAGGATACCTGTCTGCCAGGGAGACCTCCAGGGTTGTTTTCAGCCCTCCTGAGTGGATGTTGACCTCTTCAGGAAAGCCGCTGCCTTTGCTGGCAAGCAACTGTCTGGACTACCTGGGGGACCTGCTGTATGCCCCCAGTACATCCCACCTGCAGGCAGATATAAACCAGCTTTAAGCAGCTGCACGGGTGGGTGTAAGGTCTATGCTGAGCTTTGTGCTTGCGGAGATTTCTTCCAGACAGTTTAAAGATCTAACTTGGGTAGGTTTGTGCTCTAAGGCACAGTAAAACGTGCAGTTAGCCGGTCGGGGTCAGTGCAGGAGCAGCTCCTCAGATGGGGTATGTGCTCTGTACGATCACCTTCTGCTCTTCTCGCTGTAGTCTCCGCAGAGCGATGTCCTGATGCCCGCGATGCAAGGCTACACTGTTGGGAAAGACGAATGTTTCCTCCTGTCCCAGCGGATAAACCAGTCCTTGAAGCTCAGCCAGGCCTTGCATGGCACAAGGAACTTGGAAGGTCTCTCCTCGGAGCACTGGCCATCAATTGCCACTCGGGACCTCCGGAAAGGGGGATCCCCATCCAGACAGAGGTGGAACGGCTCCTGTGCAGCACCGGTAAGCAGAGGCTCTCAGTTTCTTCTGTGGTTTATGTTGGCTCAGGCTGATAAAGCATTTTTTGGTGGTGACCAATGCCCCCAGCACGTAGACGCATTGCTGTATTGCTGACAGGGCATGGACACCGGGGAGCGGGTTGGGACAGGTTATCTTGGAGCCATCAGCTGTAATCCAAGCTTTGGCAGTGAGATATGGGCCAAATTCCCTCCTGCCAGAACCCGAGGCACCAAATGCCGCATCCCTGCACTGGCCTGGGTCACCAGACCAAATGGAGGCTGCAGCAAAGGGACTGAAACCCAAAGCCAGTGACAGCCACTGTCACCCCACTTCCACAGCTTGACCTTCTCCTGTGGGCGCTGGGACTGGCCACACTGATGTAACTCCTCAGCTTTGTCTTCTCACATCATCTTTTGAGAACGACACCAAGTTTCTGGTCACCTGCCTGTGCAGGGAGAGGGACAGCAGTCACCTGTAGCAACCCTTAGGTAGCTTGTGGGGCCTCGGTCACCCCTGAGAAACGCAGTGTCACAGGTAGATCATGGGAACAGGACACATAAGGGGAAAGGAAAGATGAGTAACCATCACAATACAGCACTCGGAGCAAGTGCTGAAGGCTGTTGTAGACAGAAGGAATGAAGGTGGGATCTGTCCCCTCTTCTGTGTCTGATGCAGACCCCCAGAAGATGATGTCAAATGCACTGTCTGTTCAGAAACCCTCGCTGGCTGTGGATAACCCAAGCAAGGAAAATGAGCTGCTGTGTCTCAAAAGTCCATCACTTGGTGAGTCCAGTCTGAGCGGGCTAGAAGCAGGGTGGGTTCCCAATCATTGCGCCCTTGCAGGTGTTGCAGCACACCCTTAGGGGACTGGACAAGCAGGGATCTTCCCAGCTTCTGGTAGAACACCTCCAGAAAGAGAGAGAGGTGTAGCCACTCATGAAAGGCATGTGTTTTGGGGTGTTAATCCAGCCAGAGAGGGTGGGAGCAGGGGGGCTTCTCTGAAGCAGATGCCAAGAAGGTCAAACCATCAAGAGGTGGAGTTCCCACAGGACGCAGTGTCTCCTGAGCCGGGCTCACCGTGCAGACATCAGCATGGTGGTTCTGGGGTCCCGTGCCCTGCGGACAGCTGTGAGCAGGCTCTGGCTGAGGAAGGGGCCAACCTTGTTCTGTTCCCAGAGCCGTTGAACCCAAGAACAGAAAGAGGACAGTTCCCGTGAGAAAAACCAAATCAAGCACGACAAAGTCCACCACTGTTGCAGTAGAGAAGCCATCTAGAAGACCCAGGCCTGGCACCTTGCAAGCACAGGGCTTTGCTGGTTTTTGCTACTTCCACTCTTTCAGGAAGCGGATTTTCCGCAGTGCTTTCCTGGAGTGCCACTGCTCCCTGCTTCATCATTGGGTCCTCTCAGGTGGAGGCATGGGTGGCCTGTGGGTCAGAGCTGTGGAGTTACCAGGGAAAGGAGAAAAATGTTTTGACACATCCCCAACCCCATAGTTCAGATTTACTCCTCGCATCTTGTGCGTGTCCCATGCGCTTCATCCTCAATCACTGCCTGGCATGCCATCTGTACTACAGCTGGGCAGCTCTCATTCCCAGAAAAAAATCACTTCAAATCACCCTGTGACCACACTTAAACCTCTGTATACGCTGACCGCGTGAATGTCTGCGTGGCTCATGTCTCGCCTCCTGGGAATACTCCAGACATGAATCCTCGCAGCTCCACATTGGGATATAAATGGTAACCAGGACACAAGTCCTGAGTAGGAGCAGCTCTTATTGTTTATTGTGAAAGCTGGTCTCAGGAGCCACACTTAAAACAAAGAAAATATTTGACCCAGTCCATTGATCTTCAAATAAGGGCTTGCTGACCTCATAAATGAGCCAAAATCCTAGTCCACTCCCTGCTCTGGTTTTCCAAAGCTCTGCTGAATCTTTTCAACGTAGCTATCCTCTGGCTTTACATCTATCAATAATCTCCTGATCTACCAGTTGCAAGTGGGAAGGGTTTTCCACTCCAGAACACCCTCTCCATGGCCAAATGCATGAAGCCCTTTGCCATGCAGTGGCAAATTATTGTTTATTCTCAGCAAATGCCAGAGAGGAGCATGGCCTCCTCCTCCTCCCACTTGTCCTTTCAGGCGCCCCATCCTTACCTGCCTCCCTCCCCTGGTCTCTGCGGGGCTGCCCAGGCCATTTGCAGGTTCTGAGGTCTCCATCTGTCGCCAGGACACTATCACAGACCCAAAATGCTGCCGCCTTCTTGACTCCCTGAGTGAAGCCTCTTCTTCAGGCTGAGACCAGTTCCTTTGGCTACATGGCAGCAAAGCTGTCGGGCAGGTACATCTATGGCAGAAAAGAAGCAGCTTGCCAGGAGAATCCCACCCTGGATTCCCAACGGCTCGCTGGATGATGATCTTAAAGGTCTTTTCCAACCTAAACGATTCTATGGGCAAGACAGATGAGGGAGGCTGCGCTCCATCAGTACCTTTACTGGCCCATCTGCTTCACAGAGCGCACGCAGGACTCATCCACATTTCTAGCTCTTCTTCAGGTATCTCTCTCTTGTTGGAGAAGCAAGCACAGAGGTCCTGGCTATTTTCCAGGTCACATCTCCTGGTGTCTCCTCTAAAGGCACTTCATGAAGGTACTGTACAACCCTGCCCACCAGCAGTTCTTCAAGCAGTTCCTCGAGGAGCGCAATGCAGATGAACCACTGCGTTTCTGGATGGCTGTGGAGAAGCTGGTCACGGAGACCAACCCCAAGATGAAGAGCTTCCTCGTTAACAGCATTGTCAGAAATTACTTCCATGCTGAAATCCCAGCTGGTAGGCACTCTCCCACCCTGCACTTTACTCCATTCATTATGAAAGCCTCTTTTCCCAGAGCTGGGTGCTGGTTGCAGATTTTATATCCTCTTGCAGGGACATGCCAACTCTCCGTTCCCATCCAGTGGAGCATTTATTTTCTGAGGCCTGCCACTGCCACTTATTTCTAGGAAGGTGGCCTACTTCTTTGGCAGGATCTGCTGACCAAGAACTGCAACGTGCAATTCCTGCAGTGGCAGAAATAGCTCTTCCCTATCTTGTTTCCTTTAGGTGCTTTTGGAGTCACAGCTTCATCCCCAAAGTATGCAATTAACACAGTATAAAAAGGAGAAGGGATGAGACAACCAAATTCAGCAAACAGCAGACAGAGCAGGGAGAGATGGGACAGGGTGCCACTTGCAGACGTGAGGGTAGGAAGAGATGTCATGGTGGGTCAGGGTGGCTGGCAGGGGCAGGCAGTGACTGCACTCCTCTTCCAGAAGAGCTGGACTGCCACGCTTCTATCATCAAAGAAATAAATAAGGCTGAAGCAGTCAGCCCCTTCATGCTGATGACAGCACAGATCTTTGTCCAGAAAGCAATGAAAAAACGATGGTGAGCACCTGGGTCAGGCTGGTTCCTTAAGCCCAGTGGTTATGCAAACACATCCTTCCCAACATCCATCCCACCCCAAGGTGACAGATAGCAACTGCCACAAATATATTTCCCTATGAACTATCAGCCGGTGTATCAAAATCCCAGCCAGACCCTCACCCCAGCAAAACAGCTGTTGCATTTGCCTGTGCAAGGCCTGCAAGGCTTGTCCCATGGGGACCAAATCACTGTTGGGCTTGCAGGGTGCTGGACTGGAGGAGGAAACACACTGCAGGTAAGCAGGACAGACACTCCCAAGCCTGCTATGTGCAAGAACAGAGCCCAGGGGAGGGGATCCAGCCCCCACCCCGTCCCATTCTCCAGTCTCCCTCAGGAACAGAAGTCCAGTGGGACCCCAACCCCAGGGCTCTCCCTGTCAGCTGCTCCCCCCAATTAGCCACCCACCAAACCACTGCTCTCCTCATGCATCTGCCTGCCCTTGATGCTCTCTCTGATCTCCCATCTGGCAGGTTTCAAGAGTACCAGGACCTGTTCCCTCCAAGCAATATGCATAAGTCAAACCTTTCTTCGCAGCATGGGATGGGGAACTTCATGACAGACAAGCTGGTAAGGAAGGACCCTCTCTGCTGGCAGGCTGAGGATGTTGTCCAGGCAAGAAGGGAGATGCTGCGGGTCAAGAGGTGCTCACCTAAATGGGGTGAGGGGGTCAGACTTGGAGGGTCGCAAAAGGGCAGCTGATAGGTAAAGGATCACCCCTACAAGCTCCAGAGTCCTGCTCCACGCAGACTTCACCAAATTTGGTCAGGACTGGCTAGGGTGATACACACTATTACCTGTGGCCACGAGTGAAACCAAGAAATACTGGAAAGCAAAGATGATGGCGGGGTCACAAATCCCACTGCCGAGGCTGGGCTCTGGTCCTCCAGCTCACAGTGGTGGGTCCCAATGGGAGGGCTCTGTCTGGGACCAACCCTATTGCCACAGGCAGGGGTTGGCTCCCCAGGGCTGTGCCGTGTCTCTGCAGCGGTCGGCCTGGTATGCCATTCACAACATCATCAAGAACATCTGCAGCTTCTGGAGGGAGATGGACAAAGACAAATATCGTGCAGAGTTTGAGGATTTTCTCTGTCGGGAACTAGGAAATGAGGAGGAAAGTATGGCTAGACTCCTGCCACCCCCTCTTCTCCCTCCCCGCGACAGTCCTGGGCTTAGGCAGAGAAGTAAATGGAGGAAACTGGTGGCTCATCTCCCATCCCCATATACTGACTTAGTTTTCTCTGCCAGAGGCATACAAAGAGCCAGAAGACCGGGTATCTCAGGATGCCAGATATTGCTGTGCAGAAGTCTGCAGACTTAGGTGCCGGCGTTGGGAGATGAGGTTCAGAGTTTTGCCCAGGCAACAGGCACGCGTACACATTCATGCAGTATCTGGTTTTCTAATGCAGATGTCCTACGATGCTGTTGCATCTCTCTCAAGCAATAATGTATATGCAAGTTTGCATCCCTTCCACAAAAAACAGGAGACGCTAAATGAAGCTAAGGTGACACAGGACAAAAACTAAACAAAAAGGGAGTTGTTTTCTATGCAACAGGGAGCTGACTTATGGGGTGCTTTGCCAAAGGATGTAGATCCTGAAAGTTTACACTGAGGTTCAAGAGGAGGATGGAAAATCAGTTAGAAAAGAAATCCACTGAAATTGCTAAATACACAGAAACTCCATCTAGATCAAGAAATCCCTGGAAATGAAAACTATGAAAGCTGGAGAATATTGCATATGGGGGAAATAACACAGATTTTACCTTGCCTTCTCCCTAGTTATCTGCTTGTGGCCTCTGTCAGAGACAGGATAACAGCTAGACAGACCAGCAGACTTTTGATCTAATGTACTCTGGCCATCCCCTACAAAAACAATGAACATAAGCACTCCATGGGTGCAAAGAGGAGGATGGATGGAGGAGGTTACTAAGCTAGAAGTAAGGCTGCACCCTGGATGGGTCTGAATTCCCTGGAAAGCCTGGCTGCAGGAAGGCTGTAGTCCACATAGGTAGAAAGACCCTCAGCAAATTACTTGCATGGAGGTAAAGCAAGCACAGGCGAGGTGAAGGAACGGGGTATAGCTCAGCACCAGATGCCCAGCTGGCCTCAAACCCAGTTCTGGGTGAAGCAGGACACAACAGCTCTTCCCCTCTCTCAGACTTGCCCATCAGGTTGATGCAGAGCAGCAGCACCGTGGGCACTTTCCACTCCCAGACGGCCTCTGCCAGCACCCCACCGCACAAGGAGATGGTCCTAGTGAAACGCCACCTGTTTAACAACCAGCTCATTACCGTCAACTTCCTCGTCGATGACCTCTGCTTTTAGCTGGAGATTGACAAGTAAGTTCCCTTCCCACCGAGTGCTCAGGTACCACCAGTCTCCCATGGCTCTGGCCCAAACCCATCCTGCAGGTAGCGCCCATCTCTCGGCAGTGAACAAAGCCTGGTCCATGGGTTCATTAGCACACACTGAGGTCCTTGTTGCCACCCCTAAACTCTTATCAGTGCCTCTATGCGAGGCTGGTATCTACACATCATAGGACACAACCAAAGTCTCACCCCAAAGCTATCTACATCTAATCTGCTCATGGTTACCTGCCCCTGGAACTACCATAGGCCTCCATTTCAACCAGAAGTAGTTCCCAAGGGTTCTTGTTTGGGTATCTTAGAAGTACTTTGGGTTTGAAAGTCCCAAGCAATCTAACACTTTGCCTACAACTTTCTTGACCTGCCAGTTATGGCTTTTCTCCATTGACTTTGTCCAGTTCCCTGACAAACCTGTACGTGCAAGCCATGGCCAACACTCAACAGCCCTGCAGTCCCACATGCGCAAGACCAGGTTTCGATTCGCCTTTTTTCCTGAAAAAGGGCAAATATCACACCCTCCAGGTGAACACCATGACCATGAGGGTGGTAGAAAAGGAATGTGGGTTTTTGTCCCTCCTGTTCCACACCTTGTGGATGGCTTTTTCTGGCCCAGTAAATACAAAGCTAAGCAAGAACACGACCGCCTAGCCTAGCAGTCAAGAGCACTAATCTCGGAGCAAGACCCTACATGCCTTTGCAGGTTTTCCAGGCTGGCTGTTTCAATTGAAGCTCTGGCAGCCCACAACATGCAGTCAGAAAAGTAAGTTGCTTTTCTCAAAAGGAAAGCTGCCATCATCAGCAAACTCTTCCTGAACTCTGATATTCCCCCCAAATTGCGGGTAAGATCCTGGGACCCACCCAGGAAGGCTGAAGGCTGCTGCCTGCTCATTGCTCAAGACCATTGCACCGCAGCTGCGAGCAGTTGTGGGGAAAGGGGAACCAGGCAGAGATCTGGACCTGCTCCAGCAAAGCACGCTGTGAAGCTTCAGAGCATGTTCTGGAGCTTGGGACCTCCACGGGGTGAGAAGTGATCCACCACCAGACCCACGCTAGCACTTGACCCCGCGTAGATTAAGCACAAGTGCATGGACAAGGAGATGGTGAAATCCCTTACCTGCTGGAGAAATGCCAGGGCTGAAGCACCAGGATGGGTGCTGCACACCACCCGTTCAGTCCTTTCGCTCTCCCGAGGTCAATGTCACCAGCATCCCCTCGCCACTGCACCCACCTCTTCCCCTTGCAGTAGCCATGGCTCTGCCTGTCTTCCCTTTGGAAAGGGGAGATCGAGGTGGGGAGGGATTCCTACCCTTGTATCTGGGACAGTCAGCCAGGATGTAACTAGTATCCCTTCCTAGAGACCGCTGAAATGCAAGGTGGGGTCAGGGAGAGAAACATGCCTCTAGCGCCCATCAGGAGTGTCACAACCTGCTTTGGTTAAGCAAGGTCTCTTCTCTGGCCAGGTAAACATCTCCGAAGAAGAGAGAGATTTAATCTGGAGTTTATCTTTCAAGGGGCTACTGAACCACGTCCTCTACCACAGGGCCAAGGTCATCCTCTTCCCCATCTTGATGTACTTCTGGAGAAGGTACTGTGGATGCTAGCCTTTTTCTCCAGCCATCTGTTCCTCTGACACGATGAAAACTCCCCAGGAGCTCAGCTGTAGATGTCTGCTTGGAGGTTTGCTGTCTTCAGTATTTCTCATACAGGTTCTACACCTGGAAGGTGATGAGGAGCTTTCAGGTCTCTGCAAAGGACAGAGTGCCAATCTCTTTGCCCAGTACAAAAACCTCCTCCAAATCATCTGACATCTATGGTCCAAGTAAGCCGAGTGCTTGTCCCCCTGCTCCACATTTGTCCTCAGGCTTGTCCTTCCAATGCAGAGATGTCCAGACCTGGGTTTTTGGTGTCCAACGGGGTTCCCCTTAAAAGGGCCAAACTCCTTCCTTCACACAGCTGCTTCACACAACTTTGAGGATGTATGTGGTGCAGGCCTGTTGGAGAATGAAGCATCTCTGAAATTGTTCCTTTCCATCAAATGCAGTCAAAATTACCCAGTGGGTTTTTAGAAATTTCTTTGAGGAACAGGGAAGTGGGTGCAGAGACTTCACGAGCAAAGAGCTGTTGCATAACTGTTGTTTACTTTGATAACCAAGTTAAAAATACTCTCGCACACACCCTTAACCAGAAATAAAGCAATTCATCTTTTGGGTTGCAAGTCAGATGGGAGCAGGAAAAGGAGAAGAACCATGCAGCCAAACAACAGGCTCAGTGGCATTACGTGGAGGATGCTTTGAACATCTGGAGTGGAGAATAAGCTTTCATCAAGATTTGAGGTGACATTCACTGGGACATCTCTAGGGAAAAATCCTCATCCACTTGTTTAGTTTCAATACACTGAATAACTGAAAAACACAAAGAAAGTGGTGCTAAGTGCTGTCAGTCTGCCTGACAAGTCAGCTCCTTGACTGATTATTCATTTGGAAATTGTCTAATTGATTTTTTGATTAAAGGGGAAACCAAAATAGGCACATACTAATCGTGCTTTGACGGTCGAGTGGGTGTCAGCAAGCTGGTGTTCTGCTCCCTGTCATTTATCACTGTCAAGTTCTGGTTAAAAATCAGAGTGAGAGGATTTCGATACCTACAGGCAGGTGCTTCAGCTACTGCTCTGCAGCCGAGCTGGGGTAAGACCCCGTGCTGGTGTGCTCCAAGACTACCAAGCTGTCACCGTTTAAGGCTGGGCCG